TAATAACTTTAATTCCTTTTTCAACAGATTATCTTCCCTGCCAGAAACGATCTTCGACACCAGCAGAGTTCGTTCAGTAGAAAGCGTGGATCTTTCAGGAAACCGCTTCGACGAGATACCTATAAGAACCCTTCAAAGGCAATCAGCCTATCTGTCGCGTTTAAACCTAGCACGTAATCGACTGGTCGAGGTCTTTACCCAGGACGTGGCCAACAATGTGAAAGATTTGGACCTCTCTGACAATCCCCTGAGCGAGAACGCTGTGAAGGGAATACTTGGCGAGGCAAAGATCCTGCGATCGTTAAACCTCGCCAATACTGGGACGAGTACTCTCACCAGATTGGAAACACCCTTTTTGAAGCGATTGAATCTCTCAGGGAACGGTATAAGCGACGTGGAGCCCAAGGCACTCGAGCGTACGACCATGCTGGAGAGCCTGGACGTCTCCAAGAATCGATTAACCGATTTAACAAGTGTGATCACTGCGTTGAAGGATTTGCCAGTCCTCAGGTGGCTGGACGTGTCAGGGAACGACGCCAGCACTATCAACGAAACCACCTTCGAAGGACTGACCGCTCTACGCTCCCTCAAGATGTCGGATCTCCCTAACTGTGCTCGAATCGAAAGGACAGCTTTCAAACCATTGGCGAATCTACGTTCATTATCCGCATACAACTATCCTAAGCTAGGCTACTTTGACGTACAAGGGATCCTCAAAGGAATGACTCGATTGGAGTCGTTGGACGTGGAAATCAAAGACTCGTCTGTGAGCAACGAGCAACTGTCGATACGCGCTCATCCTCGTCTACGAGAATTAATACTGCGCGGTGAGAGATTAAGGAACGTCCTCTCCAGCTCATTGGTCGGTGTTCGCGGACGTAAACTGACCATAGGTCTCAAGAACACTTCCGTAGACGCTATACCAGCCGCCCTCTTTTTCCCAGTTCCTCGATCCACTGAACTAGAGCTGGATGTCTCAGGAAGCAAGTTCACAGCTCTATCTTCCCAATTTCTCGCCGCCCTGGACGAGCGTGGGGGCACAGTGAAGATCAAGGGTCTCGATAAGAACCCTATCAACTGCAGCTGCGACGCCAGGCCCCTCTGGAAGTGGCTGAGAACCATGAAGAACGTCGATGATAACAATTCCTCGAATCGCGTGCTCTGCGTCGCTCCTCCTCATTTAACAGGCTTTGTTTTGACTAACCTCGAAGAAGACAAACTATCCTGCGAGTTCACAGCTGCTACTCCAGGTACCAGACATAGAACTACCCTAGCTGATACTACTGTCGCCTCGAAGAAATCGACAGTCCCTGCTCCAGAGCCAGAGATCATCTGGACAGTGGCGCCTGCAGTCCAGAATGACCAAAAACGAAACAAACATTATAATAATAACAATAATCATGACCACGCAGTGGATTCCACAGTAGGGACTGCTTCGGGAACCGACGATACCCTAATCATAGGTATAGTCGGTGGAGTGGTCGCTCTTACAGCTATAATAGTCATTGTAATCTGCATCTGTCGACTGAGATGGTCCAGCAGAGCAGAGGAGGCGCGAATGACTGCTGTAGCTTCCAGCATCCGCGAGGCGTCGATGATAAGACCACCCAGTGCCTACTCTGGAAAAATCAATCACGATCTTTATGTAGGATCTTATAATGGATCGACGTTGGATCGTGGAAACGGCGCTCAGTCCATTCCAACGCCTCCTGTTCAGATAATGCCTTTCGTACAACCGATGCATCTGATGCACACGCTTCTGACTCCGACGCAAATGCAGTCCCAGGCCCAGCAGCAATCGCAGCTGCAATCGCAACAATTCTACGGATATTGCGACGGATCGTCGTTGCCCGTCTACGTTGCCTGCTCCACGGATACCAAATGCGACAGATAATTTGCTCAGTGTCCATACGCACAGTGTACATACACACACATACCTCATAGTTTACACGAGTACTTTTAACGTGTTCTACCATCAGCGTGGTGTAGATACGTACTTCGGTTTAGATGTAGGGTGTCCCAAAAGTTTCTTTCGTTTCGTTAATAAGTGGTACATACAAAGTGACGCTTTGAATAGTTCACTGGACCACGTGTACGTTTTATTGATCGATCGTCTGCGCATTGTACTTATTGTAAGTGAAAAAAAAAGATAGATAAATATTTAGATAAGGGACTATGGTAATTCTAAGGAAATCATTGCATCGCTAATTACACGATGAAGCTACCTGAAACTTCTGAAATGTCTTCCTGCGTCGTCCATACTTACATTTTTCGATAAACAAATTCTAGAAGCTCTACACTCGAACGATAGAACGTCCCAGGGATAATTATTGTATGCTATCTAAGATTTGGTGCTCATTCACTTAATAATATTATATTTGTAGACTTCTATACGTGCATATGTATATGTATACACCTCGTAACCTAATCTATAGTTTTGTAAAAATATACACTTTCTGTACCCATTTCTTCATACCTTATATATAAAAAGTAGTATTTAAAGCAGTAGTAAGGCTGCTATTAATTTCCCTTCATTTCCTGGTACATTTCTCTTTACTTCCTATAATTTCCCCACGTAGCCATCTCGTAGGCGCAGAGATGCCCCTTGTATGCGGCAATCTATTCCAGTCTGGTTGTCGTTTCGATTGCTATCTCGCAGGCGCAGAGGTGCCCCTTGTATACGACAAGCTACACCACAGCTTATTTGTTGTTTCGGTTGTCACCTTATAGGCGCAGAGATCTTTCTTCTTCTTCTTCCTTCTGATCTAATTTAACAAGATTTGATGAGGTTATGTCGCTTCTGCTGCCAGTATCGCACTACGAGTTACGATCAGGGTTCACAATATCCAATTAGTTACGCGTAACAGATCACAACCTTGAACTCACGCTTTATCATAATTTAATCTCGGCACTCGTGACCGATGGTGATCGACTTTGGAGAAAAATAAGTGGCAGCTGCGTTTGCGATTTGATACCTTATACTCGTCTGAATCGTTGATTAATTACATTGTTGTTTGATATTTCCGTTATCAGAAATGTCGGACACTACTGGGAAGGTAATTATTATATAATTTATAATTTCATTATAAGTTTGTAAATATATATTAACCTTTAATACTGTTCCGTTATTTATTAAAGTGTGTAACTATATCCAATAGTTATTGCACTAAATTAATGTAACATACTGTAGCATCGAAATTGCGATGTAAAAATGTGAAGATAAACATTGTGTTTGTTGTCTTTAACTTTATACTGTTTCTGTAGATAATTAAATGCAAAGCTGCAGTGGCTTGGAAAGAAAAAGAGCCTCTATCGCTTGAAGAAATTGAAGTAGCCCCACCAAAGGCTGGTGAAGTAAGAATTAAAGTTGTTGCCATTGCTTTGTGTCATACAGATGCTTATACTTTAAGTGGATTAGACCCAGAAGGCATATTTCCATGTATTCTTGGTCACGAAGGCAGTGGTATCGTTGAAAGTGTTGGAGAAGGAGTACATGAATTTCAACCAGGTATTATTAGATTTATTAATTACAGTTAATTTGCATCTTTTCCCAACTGAAAAATCTTACGTATTATATGCCTGCAGGTGATCATGTAATCCCACTGTATATTCCTCAATGTGGCACGTGCAAATTCTGCAAGTCTCCCAAAACTAATTTGTGTAGCAAGATACGTGAAACGCAAGGGAAAGGTGTAATGCCCGATGGTACTTCTAGATTTACTTGCAAAGGTCGCGAAATTGCCCATTTCATGGGATGCTCTACTTTCTCTGAATATACAGTGGTCGCGGATATTTCTCTTGCCAAGGTATCTACATTGTACATCTTCCATATACGTATTTCATAAATTATAATTATCGTTCCCTGTTGAGATATCTGTGCGCGTATAATTCTAGATTGATCCTGTTGCACCGCTTGATAAAGTATGCTTGTTGGGCTGCGGAATTCCTACCGGGTACGGTGCTGTCCTTAACACCGCTAAAGTAGAACCTGGAAGCACGTGTGCCATATGGGGACTGGGTGCTGTCGGGTTAGCGGTTGCATTTGGTTGCAAGAAAGCTGGAGCTAAGCGTATTATTGGGATAGATCTAAATCCAAGCAAATTCGAGCAGGGTAAAATCGATTTGTACATTAATGAGAAATTTTCTTTAAAAAAAAGATCCACGTAAACTATCACTATTTATATATTTTTCTATAGCTAAAGTTTTCGGATGCAACGAGTTTATTAATCCTAAAGATCATGATAAACCAATTCAGCAAGTTTTGATTGACTTAACGGATGGTGGACTAGATTATACTTTTGAATGCGTCGGCAATGTAAACACTATGGTGAGCCTTAATCTTCTCTTAAAAAAAAAAATACTCTACGAAATTGTATACTCCTCCAAATAATAATCTGAAAAGAAACGATTAGTTGATATGAAATATATTTGATTTTTAGAGAGCTGCGTTAGAATCCTGTCACAAAGGTTGGGGTACGTCTGTTATCGTGGGTGTAGCTGCTGCAGGTCAGGAAATAAGTACTCGTCCGTTCCAGTTGGTAACAGGGCGAGTATGGAAAGGAACCGCATTTGGTGGTTGGAAATCTAAAGAAAGCGTACCCAAATTAGTACAAGAGTACATGACCAAGACTCTGATTCTTGATGAATTCATTACACACACTCTTCCATTCGATCGAATTAACGACGGATTTGACTTGTTGCACTCTGGAAAGTGGTACGTTTTTAATAAAGAAATTGATAAGCAACCAAATGCATCGGTGTTATTGCTTTGTTAAAAAATGTCGGTTTTTTTCCACAGTTTGCGGACGGTGCTTAAATTCTGAAAAAGGTTATACGGTGTTACTCCATGTCGGTTTGTGTACAATTTCTATTTCTATTTATACTTGCGGTATGATGAAATATTTTTGTAATGAATTTTTCAAATAAAAATATATCGTATGTTTTCGACGTAATTGTCTCGCCTACTTATTAGTAAAAAGGTTCGAAATAACTCCATCCCCCACCTTTCTACAACAATCTTTATTCATAAAGAATTCTTACAGCCACATGCACAATACCAATTTGATGAAATATCGATAGTAGCTCTGGAATGAAGTAAAAATTCTTTACGTTTCGACCAAGTGCATACCTTACAAAAATCATCACGTTGCCAAGATCATAGACAATCATTTTTCCATTGTATATAATTATGTATATACAATATGCAAGACGACGTTTGCGAGTTGTGTTCTTTAATCTAAGTGAACGGTATAATAATAAATTCCGTCGGAATAGAAATTGCGCACAACCTAGCGAAGAGTATGCGTGAGTTGATTTATTTACTTAATCCATCGAGGACGAGATTCGATGATCGAACGGCGCGGTGCAAAAGTTTCTACCAATTCTTATTTGTACTTTGATATTTTAAAATGATGCGGCGGCATACTATGTTGCTCCTTAAAACGCGAAATATATTATTATGTTTTCTTTCTTTTTTTTGGACAGTTTACCCATTGTGTTTTCCTATTTGATATATCGTCGATTAACAAGTGTCCACTGACGAGTACGATAAATGTTGCTGGTTGATAAGAGTAAGTACTGAAACTTGGGATATACGTCTTTCTAATTAACGATAATATGTCGGGGACATTAAACGGTCCGAAATTCGTGGAAAAATGTGTCAAAGTATGAAATAAGTTATGCTTCGAAACTTAACTTCCACGTGTTAGCTTCTTAGTTAAAGATACGTGTATAATTTGCACTGGCTATTCTTACGTAAATTGCTTTCTAATTATTACCGCATATTCACGTAATCACACCGATCATTTTTTTCTACGGATTACATTTTATACTCTATTACCTACGGTGTACCGCACACTCTTTAAGTAAAAGTCGTAAGTAAAAATGCTTAGAATTACAAGTAAACGCAGACGAATCACGACGTGCTCGTTGAATATCAAAAACGCTCCGCCCTACTCGATGCACAAAGCGAATCGAGCTCTTTTGACGTTATCTTAACGTCGAAATCGTGTCATAATTATCAAATAAGGTAAGAAAATAACTTACAACGCGTGAAACATACCCTAGGTATATCCTAAAATATGTTTCTCTGTTAGCGTAACGTGCGAAACCGTTCGTTACGATTCATGACGCGAAACAATCTCGAGTAATTTCTTTCATCGTCGTGATTGAACTGCTGCTGCTGTTGCTGTTAGTAGTTAGCGAGTATGAAATAGGTCATTTTTTTGCAAGTATATCTTACGCTAGACCTCGCAACGCAAGATGGCTATGAGAGAAAAAACTTATACTTGCCAAGAAGAAGAAGAAGAAGTGAAGAAGAAGAAGAAGAAGAAGAAGAAGAAAAAGAAGTAGAATAGTCCAGCGCGTTAAACCTAAACAAGCGTCGGGAAATGTATCCATTTGAACGTGGGGTGTTTCGTGAAATCTGGGCATAACTTTGGGGGTAAATTCTATATATATATATATGTATGAAAATAATAAAGAAAATTTCTCTAAACGCTTGTTCTATTTTCATATTGTTTCAGAGATAGTCAGTTTTTGGGTTTTTAGGAATTCTCAACTTACAAGTTGTGCCAGAGTAGTTCATTCTACTCGTATACAACCGGTGTTTTATAGTATTTCATCGAGTGAAGCTATAGACAGGAGAGTGTCTGAATCCTCGCTCGCCTGAACAAACATCTAAATCAACGAACATAGTTACATCTTTATTTGCGTTATTTAAATACGTTCAGAAACTACATACACTGTTTAATCCCTTAGGGTTACCTCCGAGGACCGTATAGAGCAAACTGATACGATTTCGTTTCGACTCTTTTTGTTTCAGTCATCCGAAAAAGGGTCCGTGTTTACCCTGTTTGCACACGTCAAAGTCAATAAACTACAAATTATCTGTAGTATGTGCAATGATATTTGTACGTACGAATCATACCGAACGAGAGAAAGTTATGCGATATATTATATATAGTATAGAGTGACACGAATCAGGAAAGTACTAAAAGCAGTCGATCCTCTACGATTGGATGTAAATTTAATTGTATTACGTACGTTTAACTGTTTTCAAGTTACATTGTAACATAACCAAAGTAATTATAACAAAGTTGCAATAATATTCGGAACTTACCTCTGAAACAATGCCTACATTTTATGAAACATTCTGCACATTCCCCCAATGGACCAGCAAATTCGTTATGCAAGGGGTTAACGGTTAAAACTATTTTCATGTGACATAATGGGTTATGCAAGCACTTTTGACCTCTACATCCAGCGGACGTGCATCTCTCTAATTATAACGGTGCGTTGATGGGATTCGCGCGTCTCTGTTGACGATCAGCCGAGTTTTCTCTCTCAGCCAGTCTTGTCTTTGTCCGTTCTATTATCGTAAGTCGTAGACAATATTATATATTTATAATGCTTAAACCTTACACTTCGAGATATCGTTAATCTAGCGCGGATTAGAAATCATAATTATATAGTGCTTTCTGTTTCTTTCAATTTTGTTTATCTTTTCATTAAACATATCGATGGAGGATGAGTTATCTTTTACTTACTGCTGCGCGTGGTTCCTGCAATTTCTTGAGAGTCTGCTCTTTTCTCTCCATCGCTCGCCCTCCTTCTCTCTTCTAATTTTTTCTATGCGCATAAATAGTGTATAATTGTATTATTTATAGAACGAGTTGTGCATGGAGGTACCTCAACGGGCACATAGGGTAAATCAACGTTTCTGTAAACAGTCGTCGGTATTTGAATTCTGTGTGATGTAGATCAAACGTATAGATCTTTTCGCAGTCTTCGCACTTAGAGTAAAATGAAACATTGCACGAAATCGCTATTGCACGAAGTAGCCCCACGGTTATTGCACAATATCGAGTTTACTTTTTTCTTGGTTGGGAGATTCTTCGATTCGATTCCTTAACCCGATGGTTTCTTAACCAGTTTGGCAATTGTCACGATTTTCGTACGTCCCGATAGTCGAACGGAAACGTCTATCATTCGTTATTTGTTTTTTTCTTCTTCTTTTTTTTTCGTTTCGAGTACGAATTACCATTGAATAGTAAGATCCGAAATAATTTGTTTTGGGCCTAATCATTCGCGAGTTGAGAAATAACCAACGTCTCCGTGTCGATCGGTACTGCTTTTTCGATCATCGAGTCAAAAAGAACGCGATCAAAGTCGTTCGACGTGCAATCACGATGCCAAATCAATCGTCATGCTTTTCGTTGCTCTTCGAAGTGATATTAGGCTTGCACACGCCGCGCCCGCCGCGCCGTGCCGGTTGTAGTCTCCGCTGCTGCCCTTATTCACCAAAGACACCTCCAATCACAACGGCGATACTCGAAACAAGCGGACAACCAGACAAGCTTTTCCGTATTCCTTCGGATCAAGGGAATAATGAAATTGTCCGATTGTTCGATATCAGGTGTTAGGGTGTTGTTCTCGGTTACTGCCAGCGCCACTGTTGCTGCTGCGTTACAGGCTCGTTCTAAAAAATCTAAAAGTCTAAAGGCTGATCGGCAGAGCCCTCGAGATCCTGTCCGGAATCTGTACCACCGTCTTCGTCGTCGTCGTCCAGGTCTACGCTATTCGACCACTTCGTACCTACTGGGTTGTTGATCGTATTCCCGATTTTATCTGAAACATTAGATAACGCGTTTGTTGGTTGTTGGAGCCAAAGGAACCCGAAAAAAAGGTTAGAGAATTAAGTAAACGATAGAGAGATATTTCGAAAATTGATTTGATCGAAAATGGTAAAAACTGTGTCGAAAGTAATAAACGACATTTACCGCAATCCGGCTTGCTACCGCGTGTTCTGGTACCAGCGTACTCCACGCCATGGGGATCGACGCACCAGCAGAGTCCAAGACTGCGATGGCACTGAGTACTTCGGTAATATCCTCGGGAGTCGCAGATGGGAGCAACTTCGGGGGATGACCTTTTACGTACGGCGGCACAAGGACCTTCGGCCTTTGAAAAGCATCCACACCACTCGGAACCGCTCACAAATATGTCTCTACAAATGTTTGTAGACGTTAACGGTTAAACTCGCATCAACGACACGCTCGACTGACAGTTGACGATAATACCTACTTCTACCGCTAAACTAAAACCTAAGAAATTTGAGAAAATTGTTCGTATAACGAAATCGGAAAACGAAAATTAATCATTTGTCACTTTCCCCATTATATGCGACGAATAATCGTCTCGAAACGCAGGTTTCGTACTCGTCTAAACTCGTATATGATTTCTAACTTGAGACAGCCAGTCTAGCTAGTCGATCGGAAGGCACGTACACGCTCGACACCTATTCCTCTCGAGTGTCGTAGCTCCAGCCACATCCCTCCCACCCCCTTCGCATCATCAACGGTATTAAGAACTGAAAAGGTTTTTGCGTTCTTCTCTCGGGTCACGTATCCGACGTGCTTAACGATTTACAGGCAAGAAAAGGAACAAGGAAAAATTTATTCGCGATTTGACAAACGAACGATAAAGAGAAAATTTCTCTTTCGCTCTACGTGGGTGGAATCGTGGAACTCGCAACACCCTTGAACCTCGAATCTCACTCACCCGTTGGTGTCGCAACCATCCAGAAATGGTTTGAGACACGGCTCGTTCTGATCATGCTCGAGACCGTACAGCTCGGAAAGAGACAGCCGACCGTCGCCGTCCTTGTCCAAATGTCCGAACATCCACCTGACCTCGCTCTGGCAACCGATAATGAGGAGAGCTGGAAACGGTGCGAGCGAAATATGAATCCCAACCCTTAACCGCTTCCGCCGTCTTCGCGCGGATAAAAAAAACGAATAAAATATCAATTTCCCAGACTCTGAATCGTGTTGCGAATAAATTATACGTATACGTGCGTGTCTACGCATACGTAGGTATACATTTTATAAAAATTAACGCGCAACGCGACACGTTTACTTTCTTTGTTACTCAACGTGCGATTCAACGTTTTCGTACCTTTCGGTTTAGGATGAGGGCGGTACTTGGATTCCGCCATCACGACTGAAAACCAGTCCAGCAGACGATTTGCCATTGCCGGTTTCGAGGACGGCGGACATTCAGATTTTCGCGATAACTGAGAATTGTACATAGACTTCAATGGCGAGGGCGTCTTCTCCATGACTTCGTTACTCATCAAATTCTTGTCGTCGTATTTGCTTCCTGCGGCTAGTGCCTGAAGAAAAAATATAATACGTGAGCAATTATTTCAAGACCTATCGCTGTGTATTTTTTGCGTTGCGTCAAGTTCTAGTTAGTATGGAATTATACGGATCAAGGAAACTTGACGTATCAATTTGCTTTTCCGAATTAATGTTCCCTGGATTCGCGACGCGATAACATTCTCCTCCCAGATCGAGCTGTTTTAATCGAACCATGTTTAATTGTAACGCCTAAAGAAACAAGTGCATCGATCGAGCAGGCTAGGATTAAAATCCAAGGATAAATTAGCCCTTGGTCCCGGTAGGTATGTAGTCGACGTCCTCGAGTGTTACGAGGGTTGCAGCCGACCGTAACGATATTACGGCTCCTCGACGTCTGGCGACGCTTTCCGTCGGATCGATGGGGAAGACGCCTCGCCTCGCCTCGCCTCGTCTCGCCTCGTCTGGGTTGCTCGAAAATACGAGCCATCGACGTGGGGGTTACGGTCCACCAATGAGAGGCAGACCGGCATCGAAGGATACCCTCGATGTCTTCGTAAAGAATCCAAGCCTCGACCTACTACTCTACCGTGCATACGACTTAAATCGTAGCTCGGTTGGTACACCTATTCCTTTTCGATCCTTTCGTATAACGTGTCTCGAAAGATTGCCGAATATTATACGCTCGAGGTTGATTATTTCATTTTCATTTTCATGCCAGATTCACGCGCAATTAAGCATAATTGTACGTGGATTTGTATTTAATAATCCCCCATCGATGATGTAAAATTAGCCCGATAATTACTGTAGAATTCGACGATAGTCGTGTATCGATCAATAATTTTCCCCGATGATCTTTCATCGAATTCGACCATCCGCATCCCGGGAAATCCGGCTTATGAGCGATAATTGATACGCCGGTTAATCCTTTTCGTTTCGTTTCGTTCCGTTTCGTTTCGTTCCAAATCAGAGCCCATAATTTCGTATACGGTCCAGCGATCGTGCTCGAGGGCAGGAAATTTAACGCGTGCCCCGTGAACATTTAATTAATCGTCCAGCTCTGTCGTTGACGAATGCACGCGAAAGCGTTGCTTTTTAGAGACAAACCGTAACACACGTTCGAGCTTTTAAACATAAATGTCGTTGGAAATGTCGACGGAATGAGATTACCCGCAAAGTTTTGAATACAAGTAGCAATGATTGATCGTCTTCGAAAATACGTAATCAGCTGTCAGAAACGTATGTGCGTATGCATATAAGGTACGTATTCCTTTTCGTCATAAAAACAAGTAAGAATTAATCGTGCCGCGAATCTTGTATATATGTGTACGTACGTATATACACTATATATTGTATATTATAATATCATGATACTACTCGAGATAATATTGTTGAGCAATGTTGTCGTCGATTTCACTCGAAATACGGACTAAATCGTGCTGCATAAATGCGAGATTCCAGCGAACCATGTTCGTATCCACGGCGATACATTGTGTATAGTATACGGGGGTGCGAACTATTCCCGAGGAAAGTTATGATTTACCGATGCAACACATTAATTTTCGATTTCGGCAGCGGATTGTAGCTTCCGTGCTAGAGAATCCTAGACAGCTCGCCGCATAACATACACAACCTCGCCACAACGTAGACGATTTAGTTCTCTAATTTGTAACTTTTATTTATCCATTTCCTACTCGCAGCTCCTACTCTTTTCATTTTTCTCCTTTCTGGGTTCCTTATTCTGAGATTTAAGTTTAGTGTTGCACAGTATAAACGCTGAGAATGTTTAATTTTCGATTCTAGAATAGATCATTTTCGATTCTAGGATAGACCATCGCTCGAACTTACCTTGCCACGTTTGGTGTATTTTATGTACTGGTAATGGTGATTGTCGTAATTGAAGTCACGAGGGGTAAGTGTAATATCACGATTTCGCATCATCTCGCCCATCTTGGACTTTTGTCGTTCCATTTGCATCTTTTTGTTGTACGCCCGTAAATCAGCCGCTGAAAAATCGATACCGATACATGCGTAAGTATAATATTCATACAGTATGACGCGGTAACATTCGCGCACCGAAAATCGAATAAAAAATTTACGCGAGATATCTACATACAAGAACGGTACTGAGAATCATGAGCCCCGTATAACTCTACTACCATATACGGATATTAATATATTCTATCTGTTAACTTTTGCGACGAAATAAAATTCCTTTACGTAAAAAGTCGGAAAGGGGGAATGCGTTGACACGCCTAAAAGTTCAAACTCGTCGAGAACTCAACGAAACGTAAACAACGAAACGACAACTCATTAACCACATGCAAACAAACCAAACGAAATTAGCATTTACATTCGGTAGCGTCGCGTCGTGCTAACAAGTATTTCAATGATTTTTAAACAAACGCGCGTCGACGTCAGCCCTCGATGCGATAAAATTCGATCGCCGACGTTTACATGTTTCTGCTTTCGAATACATTTTACGCGCGCTATCCATGATGTATTAACTATTGATCGGACGACCCTAAAAGAATAATGAAAGAAACGTATATTCGAGTCGTTTTTTTAATTCGCGATACATATAAGCTACAAGTGAGTTTTTTCATTTTCGTCGAACCTATGCGACTAGGCCATCGATTCGGATTCCTTTCTATCTATGTATTAATTCTGCGATAATGTATGTACGCACACAATTGACTTTAAGACTCCGTGATTAGCCTAGATCTCGTACCTCCCGCAAGAATTCTACGTTACTCGCTGACTCGAGAACGCGTACAACGAAGATAGTTCTCGAAACATGCGATTCCTTAAGCTTCCATTATTCTCTCTTCACCGTGAATTCGCGAGACTGACGAGGTCGTGTAGCTTAATATATTTCAACAGCGAAATTATTGTTCCAACAGTCAATTATGAATATTCATGGTGGATGTGCTTGTCCCTTAGTCTAGGCGGAGGGACGCAAACATGGGTCCATTGTTAAACAGGCTACGGGCGGTCGGGCTGCCTATGAATAAACCTACCAATTAATTCCAGCCGTAAAATCATGAAATATCTGCGTTCGTAAGTTAAGATTGCCAGCGGTTCGCATATTAGGCTGTTTTCTCGAGCAATAATTGTAAAATGATTGTGCACGAAAAGACGTTACACATTGTTAGAGATGGCTTTACCTTTGCACGGGCAGAAACCTTTGCAGGCGATGCTCACCAACGCGTGGTGGATGCAATTGTGGTACGCCAACCGGCACAGCGAACTATATGTGCGATTATCGTTTCCGCAAAGGAACGCCGGCTTCCCCACAGGACATTCTTGACATCTGCAACAAAAGGGACGTGTTCGCCTTGTTACATGAAACCGTCCTACGGCCAAGTGTACATTGACTACGGCAAACGCGTCGTCTTTACCGCTTCTCCAGTTTCCCATTATCCACCGAAACATCGGCGTCGTTTTAACGATTCTATTTCAAATGAAATAGTTAAAAATCCTTTCGTAAAGACGATATCGCGTGTACCGTACCGTACCGTACCGTATACCGATTTCAACGAAATCAAATTTATCGCCATCCATCTCGCCCTGTTACAGTTTCGTTTTCTTTCGATCATCCTTGCGAAACGACATGCGCATACCCCGTTTGTGTATTATATGTAAGTATCCCCGATCCGACGACCAACGAAGACGGGGAAACCAACAAGCCGCAGGGACGCACCATTTTAGGAAACTCAAAGGTAGACGAACGGAGACCAGCTTCGTCTTGATAAAGGAGTTAAACTAGCTTAATTACCGCGGTACTCGGTTTAAACTAATTACACGTTTGCTGACGACCGCGAATTCTCCAAGTACCCCCCCTCCCCCTCCCCCTCCCCCTCCCGCCAAACAACCACCACCGGAGGCGAGGCGAGGCATTGTGCAACTTTCCACGAACGGCAAAGGTTCTTTATTATCAGTCCTGGGTTCCTCTAAAACCGTTAATAATTTTGCGAAACCGTTTACAAGGTTACATTCTCTAAGTGGAGAGTCGCAAAACTCGGGCGAATCGAAAGATGAGCCAAGAAGCTCGATCATAGAACAAGACGTTTAACAAAGCAGAATACGAACGCAAGTAAAATATTCATCAAGGTCTGTCGTTTGCTTTCGCTAGTACAATTTTATATCCGTTCGATGAATTAATTTTCTTCCATAAGAATGAATTCTGAAGTGCGTCGTCGGTTTACCTGGGCGAATGTACGTGGTTACATCGCAGAAGCAACAATTTCCATCGAAATGCGAATTAAACGGGGCCGTGCGCGAACGATTCGGAGGTAGCAGGAGAGAACAGGATTAACGTCCAGCTCATTTCCCCGAGCTGTGTATTTGCGCGCGGAAACGCATCGACGCGACGAACAACCGCGATAGACGAATTAGTCTATCCGATTGGATTCCTTGCTGCCCTTTGCCATCCTCTGTGTGTGCGTATTTCGGGCAACGACGTTCGCCAGGTTGCGGAATTAGGCTGCCCGGAGCGTGTGTATCCTCTAACTGGACGCCAAAATGAATGCCGCCGCATGCAATTCCGGCTGCGATAGACTGCGGTCTCGGATGTACTTTGCGGCGGTGCTTCGTACCCCGGGTTACACGAGTTAATGTACTCTCGGCTGTTTGGTATACACCCGTTATTTGTTAATCAGCCACGGGGTAACGGCGATCAGCCAGCCGATTCCTCCCATCGCCATTGGCAGACTTTTCGAGTCGATAATGTCTATCAATTACGAGAAGAGGAGAGAAGAGAGTGGCGAGGGTTACTGTGCCTCCGTTGCAAATTGTAACACGTAATTCTCAAGATTGTAGACGATTTGTAGACTAATTTCTAGATTATCTTCTACTGACATTTCATTTCTTTCTATTGTTCGTGTAGTCGAATACGTTTCATTTCGTTTCATTTCATCGATCTCGTCTAAATAGCTCCAAGGTACATACGTGTATCGTCGGCGCACGTCGCACAAGCAACTGTCTCGGTGCGATGGTTCGAAAATTTCAATGAAACCCCACGCGATGCTTTTAAATCGATAATATTCAGTTATCGCGAATTTTTAATGCCGAGTGCAACTTTACACGCCGTTTATTTCAACGATCCGGCAATTCAGACACGACGAAGAGTAACGAAATCGAGAAAGGCAGACTGCAACGGTAGAAAAAGAAAGACAAATTGGGAAGGGGTGCTCCGTGGCCACACAACAGAAGAGATAGAACTCGAGAGCGAAGCTTACTCGACAATAAAGACGGGACGACTCGGAACTCCTCTTTGCGCAAGGGGTTGCAAGTGAAAAGTGGCGACGAAATGCTCACCGGAGCCTCGAAGCTCTTCCATCATCGAATTACCTTGCTAGTGTTATCGACTGGAGATCCTGCGAGTAGATACTCTTTTCTCCGTTTTGTCCATTGACGTCGTGTCACGTAGCACTGTTCTGCTTTTGTGATGTGTACATCTGTAAATGTATATACAGGATGTTCCAGGTCCTTTCACTTGGGCGAGATGTTTTTTTCCAGCGAGATGTTTTTTTCCAGCGAGCTGACACATACAAATTTACCGACGAAAACATAACGTCTCATTGCAGACACCTCTTTTGAAATAAAGAAATCGTTAATTTTCTACAAGTGTATCTCCACATTAATTTCGCAGGTCATTGAGATTGTGGTAGTACGTGTACCACGTCGGTAATATCCGCGAGGAGTGCGCGTACCGCGCAACGACATCCGAGACATCCGGATTAGGTCTGGGTAATTAATTTAAAACGTGTCGAGGTTGTCAAAAATATTTTGAATACCGTAACATCGGGTTGCGTCAAGAACAATTCAAGCTTGCCTGTCGCGCGTCACTTGTACGAAGCTCAGCTCGCAATTAGAGTATTTCTTGTTCGACGTAATCCTTACGACAACATTTCACGTGGAATTTTCAGAGATGCTTGGAATGGGAGAGGAACGAGTGAGTTGTGACTGAAAGAAAGAAAGAGAAACACGCACAAGGAGGAAAAAGAAGTGGAAAGAAGGTGGATGGAGGAAACCCTCTTTGCTCTGCTCGCTCGTGCAAATTTAAGTAGGAAGAAATGTTTCGCTGGCAACGCTCTCCTTCGAGCTCTTTCTCTCTTCGTTCGTCTTCCGTCTGAGCTGTTTACTTCGCGAAATTTTCGTCCTCGCGACGCGACGCGACACGGCACGACACGGTTACTCCAAACTTCCCATATACTTGCCAACGTTGAGAGTTGAGAGTAACTCCTGTTTGACTTAGGCGTTGGCGTTAAAATAAACGCATCTCCTCTAGCTTTTCTTTTTTCCCGACGGTATTTTCCGAAATTCATTTCTTATTCTTCACTCGTCTGTGTATTATCGTTATCCGTAATCGTTCTCGAGGTACTGAAAGTATTTGGCGATATTTTTCTGCATTCTTATGATACTCTAAAACTGTTTGATCACGTGACATGATAAACTTTTAAACGACGTAAATCATTTCTCGCTTATTTTTCTTGTCGTTTTGATGATCGCATTGAAATTTAAGGGGCACGTATCCGTGAGAAATGTGACCTATAAAACTAACCTTTTATTCGATCTCTCGGGGGATAAAACGCGTTCGACGTGCGGTGAACAGCGAAACCAATAATTCTCGATTAATGTCTCGTGAAGAACAAAACAGGCCGTGACTACATTTCCCTGCGGAACTCGCTTCGATACTTTGTTCTCTCTCTCTCTCACACACATACACAACACACACACACACACACACACACACAATGTTTTTGCATTTTACAATCGCCATCGCGACTTACGGCGAGAGGCGCATCAAAATAACCAATTTAATCGGAATTAGCCGACCATTTATCAACCGCGCATATACGCATCTATCGACAAAACATTTCCGATAAATGGAATAAATCTTGCGGTAACATCGCGACGAATAATTGTTTGTGGTTCGCAAACGAAATAAAAACTCTATGGAATATTTGTAACCGTATATGAAAGTCACGAAAACTTACTTCGACTCGTCCTGATCCTCGTCGTCGTCCTCGGAATCGAAGAAGGCATCGTCATCCTCCGAATCGACCGAAGTTTCCGTTCTCATTCGTCGGTTCTGTTGAACTGCCCGTGACTTTGGAATCACTATGTCTCTGAAAAATATAATCGACAAGTAAAAACGACCTGCGCTCGATCCGAGTCAGATACAATTGCTCCAAGTCAGAAGCGATAAGCGACGAACCACATTTTGCAATTTCGGAAAATTCACGCTGTACAAGTACAACATACATTCGATATTCCTACGAAATTGAACCACTCACCCTGACTTGCGAAGTTCCTTTTTCGAAACGCAAACGGCTGTGAAAGAGTCTTCGAGAAGGCAGAGTTCTTTCTTTCCGCAAGTCAACGGTCGACAAAGTATATCTAGAGAGAAAAGATGCGATCGGTAAGCTGACGATGTAGACGAGTAGAAGAAAAATCGTGTAGCGATGTCGGGCTTAAACAACGAGTTACCAGTTTATAATTGGTTGTTAAACGTTCGGTAGGCGAACGGACCTCTGACGCTCCGACCGAAAAAGGCAAAACTAATGTTGTCAACGATGCGAATAAGCAACAATCCGGATTTTCTCCGAGCGCAATAATTCGTTTCTTTGATGTACCGCGATGCGATGGCGATGCAGCGAACATTCAAATCCCGGTGCAATTGCGTTCGCGTGGAAACAAGTACAGTGTACGAACGATATTGGTCGTTTCAGAGCATACCGCATTCGATCGAATTTCTCTCTTCTCCATTAACCCCGAACCCGATCGAAACCCCACCAGCTATCCTCGCATCTGCCGCCGCGGCGCGCCGATGCTATCGAGAAAATATCACGATTATCTTCCGACACCGACGTGCAGAACCGATCAGGAATCCTTCTGACGTTTCGCTGCGGTTACAAATGACGCTTGCGTACCATTGATATCGTCGCCGTGACGTGAAGGTTGCATTTTTACGACACGCGGTGCGGGTGCGGGTGCGGGGATGAATACCATCTATAAGTATTACGCGACTAGTCAGCCATGGCGCAGCACAAAGGGTTAAACCACGGCTATTATTATGACCACCCTCGAATCACCGACAGGCTTCCGCGGTTATTTCTGTTGAAAGGGGACAAAGTAATTGCGGCTAGCATACCGACGATTCCCTCTTTCGTCTACCATAGCCGAGGCGATTCAATTTAACACGAATGTACATACAGTCGTTATGTTTCGCGGCACACAAGAGCTCGCGGTCAACAAGCAAAGTAAGTAGAAAAGAAAGACAAGTTTTCACAAGTGGGTTTAACGAGGCAAAGGTTCGATTTATCGTACTCGAACTCGCTCGCGAGGTAACATTTTTCAACGGTCCGTGAAACGCATCTCGGATTTATAGTTGTCATATTATTTTAATCCAACATTCAACATCAACATCCAACATCAAGGATAAATCTTGTTTCGATGGAAACGTGATACGTTAAACGTCGATACAATGCGACGCATTGTCGAAATGTCGACAAGTCGAGACTCTTCGCGGGAATTCGATTCCGTTGCAATGCGATGCGAACGGAAGGAATCGATTAATTAGCCAGGATCAACGGAATGAACGAATTTATTTATAGACGCAACATTCGCGTCTGGTGGAGCCGAATATTTATGAAAGTGGATGTAACGCAACATTGTGTACGGTCTAAACGGGTGAACGTGGAAACATATTGTTCGGAATTGCGACGAGAAAACACGATAAATATACTTTTCATAGAGGTTTTTCTGTGCAAATGACAGAACGCGTTGATATTACGTTTCCGGTGAATTTATACTCCTTTTCCGCCGATAAATTCGCTCTCGCTCCAGTTACCAAAGGTGCGATGGTTTTTAGCATGGAAAATGTTGCCCGTGAAACTTCTGACCGCGTCGCAAATTTTGAAATAGTCGGTTCTATACGATACGCGGTATCGATACCGCTCGCGATCCAACAATTGTTTCATTTTCAGAAATAAGCTTTGCAACAAAAGGGAACGAATGAATTGTTTTAGTAATTAGTTTTCGCCAAGCATTTAAGGTCCGCTCCCATGAAAAATAGCTTCAATGTTGCTAAATATTTAATCGATTAATGTGTAACGTGGTTTAAATACAACTTACTATTCGGATCGTGTATCCATCTTTTCTTGTCGCCCACTTTCATTATCCGCGTGTCATCCTGCAACAAAAACACGAATTTTCTCGTGAATGAAAAAGTTACAATTAAAAAGGTTGCCTGGTGACTTTCCTTGCGACATTCAAGTTTCATCTATTACTTTCACAATCAGTTCTATAGTACTCATCGCGAAATCTCTTCTTGCTCTCTCGTCGTCTTTTTTTTTTCTCCTTTAAATAGAAATATTCAATCTTCTGTTAGTTTTCTCGAGTCCTCGCATCGCCGCTATGCGATATCCTAACGCGATCGTTGACCAAACAATCGTTTCAAAGTCAGACAGAAATATTTTCTTCGATCTTTCTTTAACAAGCAATCATTAATACGGTTGTATACCTTACTTTAGTAACTGCTACACGTTCTTTTAATCAAACTGATATTCTTCGACGCGAATGTTTATAGCAGAAACGCGATTGCATTTTTATGGCATATTCAGGGTCGCGATTAGTCACGAAATTCATTCGCGAGTCTCGTTCTGCGGCAAAATTTTCAGACTAATGCCGTAGCAGCCTTCAACACGGCGCGTCGCATGAGTGCGAAATTGTGACGTGACAAACGATAGCTCATCACGTGTATTAACATTCAGGGTTGTTCGATTAGAAAGAGACCGGAGGCGCGACCAACTTCAAGTTCAGGCCGAGGTCGTTGCGACTGATACGTGGGCTAAATCAGAGGGCGAAGGGTACGCAGCTCGCGTGATAGTTCACGTGCCAGTTCCCAACAATTCGAGGACAACATCGAAAATACCTACGGAGAGACTGGCTGAAATCTATGCTACCGATCGTTTGCAAGTAGCGATGTGATTCGCGCATGTTCAAGGCGTCTGTCACGAGTCTCGAGTCGGTACAACGAGTATAAAGTCGGTACAAGTGGAATTCGAGTCGTCTCGTAAAACTGGTTACGATTCAAAGTCGATTCGATAAATTGAGTTACTCGGACCGATCGCGATGGAACGTATCTATTTATGCGTTCATTGATTTCAGTCTTCGACCATATTTATATTCGAATAAAGGGAAACAATCGATGGTGTTTTATTCCTGTAGGTCGTAACGATCGGTTAAACAGTTGGAGTTGTTGGGATAAACTTTGTGTTTTTTTTTTTTTTTTTTATACGATACTTACCTTTCGAGAAACACCGTGTGAAATAAAAAAAAAAAAAAAGAAGAGAGAAAAGAAGTTAACGCATTGCCTAGTAAAACAAAGAATTTATAAAAACTGTTAAAAGAAATAAGAACCGCGTACGCGAGTACATATTTTTGTCCGAGAAAGTAAATAATTATTATATTATGAATAACAAAGTAATTATTCATTTGAATAACGTATATATATTTCTTAATACGTTAGTATCTGCTAGCAAATAATTACTCGTAGGAAAATGTATTTATTGCTAAGAAATAAAAAAGAAAATGAATAGAAATGAAACAAACCAGTCAAAGTATAGGCACTTGGAACTCGACAGTAGGCAGGCCACGACGCCGACGCGACGATCGAAAATCAACAGGCTCCGCTCGATCACCGTGAAACCTTGTCTGTTTTTTCTTTTCGATACATTCTGTCCGTTTCCTTGATTTTCTCACTTGCATTTCCCTTGCCACGACTCTCGCCGGTCACGCAAGATTAAGTTGGCGTTTGCTGTGCAAAGAAATATTACATTCTACACGAAACAGTAACAATAAAAGTTGGAATTTGCTCCGTATCTCTGGGATATATTGTATTGCAATATGTCGCGAATCGGGATGCAACGTATCCAAGTATCGAATAATGTCGGTGATTATTACCTATTAATTCTCACCTCACGATTAAAATTCACCATTAAAATCGCTATCACTTCATCGATCTCTACTAAAATAGTCCGACGGAACTATTCGCCTTTTTCTTTGTTTTTCGGAAACGAAATTCGAGCACCGTTGCGTCGCGTCGGCGTCGCGCGGGAATACAATCCCGAGAGGTGCGTGTATGCGCACCCGTGCGAACTGGGCCACGAAACTTGGACAATTAGGCGTCTTTACGTTGGCGCAGCTACTTGTTTCGAACTTCTGTGTTTCGAACCACGGAAGTGCAAGTTCCGAACCACGGGTAAACAGATCCTATCCTGCCCTGAATAAAATTTACTGCAAAATATTCCTGACGAACGATCGAGGCGATCCAACTTGAAACGTTTACAACACTAACGACTATTTTCTCGCGTCGTTAGAAGCAACAAAGATATTTCAAGTTCGAACGTTAGGCGAACCACGCCGTATACATATATGCATATGTGAGATGTACCAGTCTAGGTTGTTTTCTTTTTTCTAGAATCGATCGACGTATTCGAGTCCACCTCGAATCAATGCACTAGCGGAGGCATGCCCGGAATATGTGCACTAAAAAATTAAGCGCGATGACCTGGTTCCGTCGATGCGCGGGTCTCGCCGAGATCTGGATCGATCGAGCTAAATTTGATCTTCGTTCGACCTGTCTGCTTGCTTGCCTGCTTATAAATTTCGATAAAGGTGAGAGGATTTAGAATAATCGATGGCGGATCTAATTAACGTTTTCTTTCAATTGAGAAAAGAACGAGAACTCTGCGTATGTCGGTCGTATACGTACTGTACGCGCACGGCCAAGGTCTCGAGCTCGAGTCAGTTCTCATCGGCTAAGTAAACGTAAATGTAAACGTCGCGTCATTCTTCTTATCGGATCAACGAGATCGAAATGAAAATATCCAATCTCTCCAAGTCTTTCCAATCACGGTAAACAGGAAACTGCATTTCGGAGTCTGGTAAGCCATGTATGTAAATCGATCCGTCTACTTTTCATTCGTGTCCGTTTTCACCGTTGTCGGTTCGAGCGAAATTCTGTTTCTGGGAAACGATACGATTCCCTTATCCGAACAAATGGCGCCGTGATCGACGCCGGCGCCTGTCATGCTTGTGTAACGTACAGGATTACTCGGACGATGCGTCAAAAAATTGAATGGCGTCAGCGGTGACATTGTAAACGGCACGTTGGCGCGGAACTAATTGTCGTAAGACGAATCTACGAGAGTCGCGATTATTTTTAAAATGCAGCTACTTCGACGTGTTCGTCTTCGAGGATCGATCGATTCCAACTAGGTCGCGGTTCGCGTCTCTTTACTCGGAACACGTATATGTATACGATATACATAGACAATACAGAATACTGCTTGAAATTAGCTCGGCCCGATGGTAGTTTTCTTTTCGAGAGCATTAAAAGAATATCGGCGAAGGGATAGAATCGTAACGACGTCTATTTTTTTTCTGTTCGTATGTCCGTATGTTTTCTCGAAAGATGCGCGAATTCGAATCGGTCCGCGTACGCGACGAGTCCACTGCTGGAATAATATTATACGTTCGCGACCGATATCGTTTTCGCTGGAACAGGAAGTAGGTCATTCGCGATCGGACGATAAAGAAATTAACCGGTGCAAAATTAATACGAACGAAGGAATCGCGTGTAACGCTCGCGCTAGCCCGAAAGCCGCGGATTAAGAACGACAAAACGGGGCTAGCCGTCAAGTTACTTACATAGGGCGCTCGATAAATACTTTTATACGATTTCGTTTAATTCGTAGAAAAGAACGGAGGAACCGGTCGAGTTAAAAACAAGTTTCACTCGGCTACGAATCAAAATTAAAATTCTTGCATTGCCATCAACGCGTTAAGAATTGGACTAAACGGAAGAAAATTTCTTCGAGTAAATTGATATTTCCACGAAAAGCAGAACATGGCTACGCACACGCGTTATAATCAATCGAATCGAATCGTATCAAGATACTTTTAAATGTTTTAAATCGTGAGATTAAAGGAGAAACGGAGTAACTGAGAAAACGCCGCGAACGGAATAAAAGGGGAATCGCAACGAACGAGAAGCAACAAATTGGATGGAACTCCGGGCCGCAGACCAAGGGAATAGCGATGGTAAAATGCGAGTTCCTCGATGAGTTAATTGCGTCGGAACGAGCTAATGTAGTGGATGTACATTATCCGTAAATAATTCACGCCTACCTCGCGGTAACGCGAGGTTAACCGATGTAAATGCTCGGTTATAGTTTTCGCTTCGCCACGCCTTGAAAGATCACGCGTATTTATAGGTTCGTGCCGTTTGTATCCTATACGAGCCTAGAAATCGCGATAATTTTGCATTAAAACTGACCTTTCACGTTTCATTAAAAATACTAAAAACGTTCGTTAACGTATTCAAACTTGAGCAGCTCCGAAATTTGTTTCGCTCGTAACATCGACGCGATAATTATTCGGCCATGTGACGTGTGACCGTGATCGTCTGGTACGCGTCCGGAAATATCTAGGTACGTCGATCGAACAATCATCCTCGATCAACTAATATCACGCTCGACGCGAGGTTCCGACGGAAACAAAGGCAACAGACGCTCTAATCAGAACCTGCCGCGACATGTCGACAAGCCTATTAATTCTTCGGCTGGTGATCGTTGACGCAATTATGCAACGACGATTTCAAGTGATAAACCGGCTTTTCTGTACCTGCTATATACCTGTCTGCGCGTAACTCACTGACGCCGACGCCAACATTTAAACCAGAATGCACCTGTACGCTACGTTATTCTATGGTTCCTCTCGACGACGAAGCACATTCGATCTTAACCCGTGGTGTCGTTGCAACAGATTTTCCATGTCGGTTTTCCACGTATGTATACATATGGCTGTATCGCAGAATGTAAGCGAATATTTTTACGTGACCGCGCGTATGCGCGAGCAAGCCGACCAGGTGTGTATTTTGACGGCCGGGCGTACATTTTCCTCGGAAAATGGATTGGCCATGCAACGAGGTCGCGTCAACCGTTTCCCCAACCACGAAGTCACTCGACGGTGCAACGGGACGAGTTATGGATCGCAGGAATAATTCCTCCTCCTCTGGCATCGTCGTGAAACACGCGGAACGATCCTCGCATCTCGCGAATAAAAATGAAGAAACGATACATTTGCTTGAATGTTTTTTAACGAGTTGGACTGCACGAGTCAAAGTTGGAAGGACTACTTGGATAGGAATGTTCGAAGGCGTCTCGTACCGCGAAACGTTCCACCGTTTTTCCACGTCGACTAAAGTCTTCGTATCCTGTAATGCTGGCAACATTTCTCCAGTCTCGTTATTGTCGTTGAATTATCGTGCGTCGCTCTCTATGGATCCAAATACGCACGCGATAAATCTGGGAAAAATGCGACGCTACATTTCCTGTCATTTCTAAATAACGCGACCATGGCCGATGAAAGGCTTTGTTATCGAGTTGCGCGTGCTCGCGCCGCTAAAACCATCTATAAATAAATATTTATCGTGAAATACGTAACGGAACTCAGCCATCCACGAACCCCCTGGATATAAATTCGACGGGAAACTCGCGCTCGATGAGAAAACTTCGATAAGCTTATCGTCGTATTTTACTAGTATACTAGTGACTCTAGAAAATATGCAGGTGCAAAAAAAAGGGTACGTCGATTCGAGAGTTGTCCCTTTCGAGATTGTGGCGAACGTTCTTGTGTTCGTCGATCGAAATTATGAATAAATTGAATCCTAGCAATTAGATAGTTTCTTTTCTTCTTTTCTCTTCCCTTCTCAAACTTCTCTTCTTTTTCTTTTTTGTCTCGAATAATCGGATCGAGATAAAAATTAGAACGCGGACCTTTCAAGAGGCGGAATTAAATCATCGATTAAGAAAATCGATTTGACGTTTCTAGAGTACCCGCGTCCTTCCGTGTCTTTAATATTTCTATTAAAGGTAACTGTTCGTCTACATCATCCGTGTAAATATAATAGTTTCTCCACCTGTTTCCACCAGGCTCGCCACCCCTAATTCACTGCCGACCGAGTCTACTTTGTTAGTTTCCGCTTTTCCTTCCTCAATGCCCGTATCGACGGCATGGCTCGCATGGCGTAGTTAAAACTTTCACTTCCGTTTCTTGTTCGAGCGAAAGTAATACGAGTTCTCGAGTACCCTTTGGTACTGGTTCACCCTTCCGATGTCTTCTTCTAAAGAGAGGAAGAGTCTAACGAGCCGGTTCAAAGAGTCGATTCGATTGTAAATTAGACATCGAAGGATCAAAGGCTAACCGATCCGACAATATTCCTTCTTTCCGTAAATCCAAACTTTAACCGGTTCACATGCCGTTACATATGCGCAAAGAAAACGATCGTTTCACCGATTCGTTAAAAATCTCTCAACATTCGATTATTACGGAACGCAATAGGTAAATGGAGCGAAACGAGAAAGCCAGGAATCGAAGAAATGTAAGTATATACGTCGAAAGAGAAGAATCGTGAAACGCTGAAAATCGATTACCTATGCAAACGTATGGTACTAGCCGAAGAGAGCCGAGTAATCGTAAATCGGACAGTAGTGGTCCCGTGTCGCGTCGCGTCGCATTGATCCGCCGAAAATACGTCTGTTTTCCTGGGACAAATCAATTCTCGATAGTCGCCGCGGCGACGCGCGACGCCGACGGGCTAAACTCATTCGGAAATGGAGGACCTTCGCCGCGGCGTGGCGATTTTCCGTGTCGATTGCACTCCGACAAATGGAAATATCTCCTTTCTCTCGACTGCCACTACCTTCTCTTTTCTACCATCTACCTTTCACCCAAACGACCCAGATCGATTTA